GTCACTCCTTCTACTCCAACCACTACATATCCTCTATTTGTGTTTTCAAATACAACAGCTCTTTAACCCTCCTTATTTTACTGTTTTTATTATTTCAGGGGGAGTATTTCAGTCTGGAATTGTTCGTGCCTGAGTTTGGGGTCTGTGTGAGAGCAAGTGGGGTGGGGGGAGACGTACTGTATATATTAAGCAGGTTTGAGATTAAAGGGAGATGCACTCGGTCTGCTAATAGAATGATATCAAACATGCTGAAGAAGAGATACATTTGTTATTCCTTAGGGACTGTGTGTACATCTGACTATTGACTTTTAAATGAGGTAGGCCTGACATTGACCTTTTGTACAGCTGAATAATAATACACTCCGCTGTAGCAGGCTGTATGCTACTGGAGAAACCCGTTTAATAGATGGTACAGTTTAAAGCATTGTCCAGCACAGACCACACTGGATGCCAACAGAGCTATGCTAATTCCTAGGGTATTCAGTGTCCAGCACAGACAGAGGCAATCTGATCAAGGGCACAGCAGGTCCATCAGTGTTTTGCACTGCAGTGTGTTTTTTCTCTCTCTCTCCATGAAAAAGGAGAAGAGGTTGAAGTTACTCCTCCCTCATAAGAAGGTTTCTCCCTCAGCAGAATGTGCAGCATGTTTGTGTTTTAGAGACAGTCACTCAGGAGGATAATTAACAGAGGGTTCCAGAAAGGAGATGCAGGTACATTAGGTACGTTGAAATGGACAGCTACATTGTTACAAATCTGCAATGTTGTGGTATCTGAGCAGACTGGCAGCTGGCTCACAGTGCTGAGGGCAGCAGTGCAGCTGTGATGTCATTTTACCACCTGAAGAGAGAAGGCCAGCTGGTGGCGTGGCTTCATCTATTCACCGCAGGTGCTGAGGGTGTTCTGTACCCCACTACAAGTGCAATCTAGAAATGTAGATGTTGTATAGAAATGCCGGATTGAAAAACACTTCAGATACAGACATGCGATGTAAAGTCCCTCGACATCAGGCTGCAAAGGATGATTCATGTCAAGGAAACTCTCATTCATCAGTTTCACTCTGAAATATTACACAGGTTTTCAAGGTCAGGGCTCCTAGCGCACCACACCCCCGGGGTAAAGAAAAATTGTCTTCAATCACTGTGATTTGAGTAACTGGAGCCTCTGAGATTAAACTCTCTCTGGCTCATGGTCCTACACTGCTCCCTGCCTGAACTAGCTGTGTGTCAATTTCAGTTCAATTCAAAGGGCTTTATTTGCATGTCTAATGAATTACAGTGTTGCCAAAACAGATACAATTACCACATCGTCTACAGTACAAACATATTATTGGACATTTATATACCTCTACCTAAAACATCACTGAGAGACAGGCTCCCTCTCTGTACCTCAGGCTCAGAGGTTCATGTACTGGGTCGCAGCTCCATTGAGATTTCTCCCACTC